TTTTAATAATCAATCTATTTTTCTATATTTGAATATTTAGATGTAATTATTTTGCCTATATTGTTTATTTACTTTTGGATTTTTTTGGTAGTTAGGGTTAAAACAGCGAGGCAGGTGATTGATCATTTAGTTATTGATTAGTATGCAAAAGTGGCCTAATCAGCTTTTGCCTTGACAACGCAAAGACGTACATAAAGAAAAAGGAGGCAACCACAAAGAAAAAGAAATTATATGGCTTTGTCAGTTAGTTAGATGTATCCATAAAACTTTTAAAATATTAAAATCAATTATGTCATGATGAAAAATCGAATGCCAATTTTAATGTATACCACACAATCTTGAAAAAGATGTGCAAGGCTGATGAGATGTGAAATTGTTAGTGACTCATTTTTAGACTTCCTACAGTTACAATGTACGGGAGCCACTTAATCGTAATAAGAATGAAAGGGAAAAATTGAAGAAAGAATAAAAAAATAATTTTTTTAAAAATAAAGTATGCGTTTGTCCCCTTGAGACAAATTTGGTTTTAGTTATTCTTAAATATTTAAAATATGATTAAAAAAATTCTGGCTTGACTAAAACTGATTTCAAGTCATAAATAATGCTAAATTAAATATGCACCAAGTTTGAAAATATCATAAAGAAATATTCTTTGTTAATTATAAACAAATACAAAATCAAACAAGGTAAATTAATATTATAAACTTTAAATAATTAACCTACGTGTAAAGAAAAAAACTGTTAAAATTAGTTGAAAACAATATGTACTTACTATCTCCTGATCTTAATGTAACAATTAGTTGGGGTCTAAAAGCTGGATATGGTCATAAATATAATATCTGAATTCATTTCATTTCTCATCTTTCTCTAAGATATCCCTATTAATTGTGAAGGGTTTACATCAATGAATAATTCTACTTATCCAATGCACATAATAAAAAATGATAGTTTAAGAAGATCTATTTACATTGGTGATAAATAACTGATTTAATTAATTTACTTGACATCCTCAAATTAGTTATCCAAAACTTATATTAAGGACAATAAATGGTGAGAAATATAATTTCGTTTTTAAATTTGCTCTTGTAATAAGTAAGAAAAAAGATTAAAAAAATATATGAAAAAATATAATAAAAGGAAGCGTGACAAACGAGAGAGAATAAAAAAAAATTGATGGCAAAATTAGAAGAAGAAAAATATATACATACATTAAATATTGAAACAAATCCAAATTAAACTTATAAATTAGACTGCTATACTCCTTCCTAAATTTAAAGTTTATAAATGGAACAGGAGGGAGTAATTTTATTAGTTTTTAATGAATATCGAAATCTCTTGCATTTAACTTATTAAATTAAAGGAAAAAAATACAAATTTAAGAGGGAGGGAGAGTGACTCAAGTGCACTACCTTTTGTTATCTTTTTCTCTGTGAATCTCCTAAGCTTTATTACTTTGTTTTGCTTTTTTTTTAATTATATATTTCTTAAGTTTCTCAGTATTTCTTTTTTTTAAAAAAGAAAAAAAATGATCCGAAGATCAGAGTTGCTTTTAATTTAAGAGATAAAAGCAAAAAGATCCATGACTGCTGGATCCATATAATTGGAGCACCACCATGCTCATCAACATAAATATAATCTGTGATTATTATTAATTTCTGGGTAAAAGTTATGCCTTTAACTTTCTCCTGCTTCACAACGGACAGAAATTTAAAGAAAAAGCAAAGGCTAACAAAACATACCCAAATATGTGACTCATACAACTTTGTTTAATGGCTTCATGATTTCATCACACCATTTTTCACAATATAATTCGTCCGCACTATTTTTTTGTCCATCCCCCCCCCCTTAAAGTCACAGGCACTTAATTTCTTTTCAGTTTAATTAATCCCTGAGAGGCCGATGAACAGGACTGAATATAAATTTTTACAAGGGACTAAAAATTCGTAGGGTTGCATCATTTTATCACCACGTTGGATCTCTTTGAGGTAATTAAGAAACAGTAATAAAGCATTGTGTAATATTCATACGAATTATAGTCAATATCTTATCATTAAAAGGTAGAATTTCATAAACATAGCCTGCCTTCACCTGCATGTTTTGCTTGTATAAGTTTTTTTTAAAATTATTTTTAATTATAGTCTTCATAGGAGAAAACGAGAGAAGGAAAGGGATTTAAATCCTCTTAAAATTCTCCAACTAATACTTAATTAACCGAATAATCAATGGAGGTAACCACTACACATATTTTGCAAAGATAAAATATTCACACACCATCTCTGCTCTTGATATAAGAAATAGAGAACTAATTTGAAAATATTAAGAAAATTAGTTAAATTGGTTATAATAATATCATAAATATGTGTTAATCTTTTCATTAAATTATCATATTCAATATGTGCATTGAAACTACCCATTGTGAGAACCCCCTTACAAGAATCCTCTTATAATCAATAAAGATATTTTGAGAAAAAAATGAGAAATATAATGAATTAAAATCTTATATTTAAAATTAAATTAAATTCCTAACTAGTTCTTCTATTATGGATCAAAAGTGCTATTACGAATCTAAGATATTTCACAATATCCAACAATTAATTATGATAGACTTTATCACAATATCCGCAATATCTCGACTAATGAGGTAACGTATGATTTGAATTTAAACACATTAAATCAAATCATATATTTGTAACATCGAATAATAAATTAAATGCTGATTTAAATATGATTTGGATTATATCTCAACACATTAAATCAAATACTATATTTATGATCTTTAGATTATTCGAATAATATATTTAATTCAACAAATATCCTTATTAAAGGGTTTGCCCCATCAAGCGTGAATCCAAAATCTAATAGTTACTTCAAGCACCAGTTATTTCTCCATCTCAACATCCCATTTTCTAATACTATCATTACCCCCTTGATACAAAATATAATGTGCTTCATTATAGTTATATCACAGCAAATACAATTCGTCTTCATGATTAAATAGGGTAGAGACAACGAAATATTTAATATTTTCTAAATAAAAGAAAGAAAGATGCATTTAATTTAACACCAACAAATTGGTAATATACAAATTCAAAAATATTTTTCAAATTATATGCGAAAAAAGTTTTAAATTTCAAATATGAATATCGAAAAATTACCTGCCAAAATATTATTAAAATGTGCTTGCAAGCCCTAATCACATGCTTAGGATTTGTTTGGATTAGGAGTGAACAATTGTGATTTCATATAACTATGATTGTGATATTTATAAGTAACCCTAATTAAAAATGATGTTGGTTAATTTTTATTTTTGTTTGGATAATTTTTCTTATGAGTGACTTTGAGAATGTTGATTGTGTTTGATTTTTGTTTATTAAAATCACTTATAGATATATAATTACCAAAAAGCAACAAGGATAGATAGGAAAAATATAATTTAATATAATTCTTATTAGCATTGATTATCATTAATTTTAATTTAATTATTATCAATAAGGGTAGATAGGAAAAATTCTTCTTGTTGAACCTCTATTGGGATTTTTCAATAGCAAAAACAACTCCTACTCAATGATAGCCAAAAAAAAAAAAGCTCATGCTCAAATATATGATGGGGACTAAAATCACAACTAATTGGGATTCAAAAAAAAAAGGCCAAACGAGATAAATTGATTTCAGAATCACTTATTTTGGCTTAAATGTTATACTCAGTAACCCACATCTGTAATAGCGGTTTTACCACTAAAATATGAATGTTTTGCAGAGGTAACAGCCATTTGATCAATTTAATAGTAAACTCACCCAAAACTTTTTTTTTAAAAAAAATCTATCAGACTAAATTCGAAATATTATTTAAAAGGTATTTAACAAATACCATTTGATAAGGATGAAACTTTTTATTTAAAAATGATGAACTATTTCAGCAACCACACTCATGAAAGGGCAGACGATTTTGCGGGCACCAAACATATTCCATGCTTTATGATTTTATGTCATCATGGTAATAGTTGAATTCCCCTGCAAAGGACAGATACAATTTACCCATTATTTTTCTTAACCATGAGTCATAGGAAAAAACTTAGACACATTCCTAGAATTCAATATATATATTATTATAATATCAATTCAATTCCCGTCTCAAGTTGGAATTTTTGACCATATATACCAAGAATATAACCTCTCGCATCAAATTGAATCTGTTTGACAAAAATTAGGGTAGATATTTTGCAATTATAATTTTGAAGTACCTTGGGACTAATACTCAAAAAATCTTAGTTACGTAACGTTAATTTTTGACTACAGTATCTTGTCCTCCACCCTTTTCCTCTTCCCCTCCCTCGAACAAACACTTGTCAATATGGGCCCAACCTTAAGAGCCGACTCTTTTAAAAGGGGTCCGGCTTAAAAATGATTTTTTTTAAAAGAAAGAAATTGATCAAAATTTCCTTTAAAAAATTAATTGTTTTAAGGGATTGAAATTTGTTCAAGAATAGCTTATCTTTAACTATATGCAAAGTGAAAGAAAAATTAATGAAGCCAAATTAAATTAATTTAACATGATGTATTTCATATAATCAATGTAGTGCACAAAAAAGTAGCTGATTAATATATATGATCAATATATGATATAAAATTTATAAAAAATTATATTATATATGGGTAAAATTATGAATAATAAAATTTATTGTTGAAACTTCACAACACTCATGCGGTCTAATTTAACTTTTTAAAAAAATAAAAAAAGGGTCTAATGAGGACTTCTTATCTTACCGAACAACCAGAACCAACACCTACTACTGCTGCTACCACTCTCTTCTTCTTTCTCATATTATTTTTGTGATGTAATATTATTAATATATTATAATTATAATTTGTCATCCTTTCTCTCTCAAATGTAACCTTTCGTTTTGCCCTTATAACCACACCACAGTCCGCCACCACCCATATCAACTGTTGCGTAACGCCTTTCCCAAACACCCCCCTTTTGGCCTTTTCTCTCTCACTCCCTCTCTTAAATCCCTCTCTGATATTTCCTCTCTCTAGACTCCTCCTTTTCTCACGCTCGCTCGATGGACATTTCTTCTTCTTCTTCTTCTCCCTCCTCTTCTTCCTCCTCCTCCGGCGCTCTCAGTCCTGACGCTACCCTTGATGCCGACACTCCCCGAACCCCTCTTGCTGTCCGGCGAGCCCTCCAGCTACTACAATCTGACGACCCCGATTTCAAGCTCCAAGCCGCTCGCGATATTCGCCGCCTCACCAAAACCTCCCAGCGTTGTCGCCGCCAGCTCTCTCAGGCTGTCGGTCCACTCGTTTCCATGCTCCGACTCGACTCGTCTGAGTCCCACGAACCTGCTCTTCTCGCTTTGCTCAACCTTGCCGTCAAAGACGAAAAGTATGCCCTCTTCCGTTCTTTCCTTGACAGAATCAGCTGATTTAGTTCCCAATTAACTTGTTCCTTTGAAACTGGATTTCAAAAATTTGTGATTATTGTGGGTGGGGTTTTTCTTATTTTTATTTTTATGTGTGTTTATGCAATTTGATGGCCCTATTCGTAATTTACTCTCTTTCTCATCGTTTGAAGTGCTTTATCTGCTTTCCCTGATTTAAGAAATCGTGCCTTTTATTTTATGAGGCGCGATGCATTGGAGTCGTGCAGGTGGGGGTTCGATAAAAAAAATAAAATAAAATAATGCGAATTCGGGGAATATAATTGTAGAATATGGTAGAATATTATAGTTTCTGTAATCTTTACGGTTCCCTATATCTCTTTTAATCTTCTCTTTCCGTTTGTCCTTTTTCCAGCTTCTATTTGCATCTGATTGGTTGGTGTGCTAATTAAAATAAAATTTCGTATATTGGAACTGGGATGGTTCGATATACTCTTTTCCACCAGCTAGCTAGATATTAATTTTTTGACGGGAACGATGGGTTTGAATAAAATTCACTTGAAATTAACTTTTATTTCTCATGGTTTAGAATGTTCGGGGGACTTTACCCCCCGGTAGATTGGATTGCTGAAAAGTTTTGGATGGAATACCCCGTGATTAATTAAAAGCATCAATCATTTATTTGTTATTGGAACCCTTTTGTGGGGAACCGGTGGTTTCCGGAATGACAATTGAGTTGCTTTACGGTTATCTCTGATGGGTTAGAGGCAAGCATATCCTGTCACAAGAAAGAATTGGATGCCTTGCAAATGAAGTTTATCCGATCGGAGTCCCTTGTTCACTTTGGTTCACATGTGTACTCCCTTTTCCTTTCCATCTTTCCTTTTCCCTTGTTTCTCTGGTCTTCATCTTTAAGTTATGCTGATATCATTTGTTGGTGATAGTTGAATTTCACCTTCTAGAAAATGGGGGAAAAAGGTTTTTCCCCCAGTTGCCTTAGCAACTGTTGCCTTAGCAACTGTTGCCTTTTATTTTGTGCCAAGATACTATTTGCTAGAACCTGAAAGCTTGAAGCTTCGGTAATAAAATCAGTAGAAAATTGTATGCTGGATTCTAAATAATGAATGATGTCTTGTTTTTCAGATGATTGGATGATGTTTTGATATATTTTGAAAGAAAGGTATTTGACACGCTTTAATGATTTATAGAAGAATACTGACATTTATCATATTTTTTCACTTTTACTTTATTTATGATTATCATGGTGACAATTATGGGTCGGCTTTCACATTTGCTATGTAACTCCAGCTGATTGTCTTTGATGAGTCTTCTTATATCTACGTTTCTGTGTGGCGTTTAATCATTGAATCTCTTTTCTTCTCCTTTTTTCCTTGGAATTTCTTATTTTTGCTTTTGCTTTGATGTGATTCAATCATGACTGAAATTTCTTGATGCACTTGATAGGGATGATATTTCTAGGGTGTACCTGTACCTTGTACTGTTTCTTCTAAGGTCGCTGCTTCGGTGGCTTGACAATTGAGCAAGAATCACCACATATCACGTTTTCTAGCTTAAATAGTTACATATAGCCCTTTTACTTGTTTTCCTTTTGTCACATCACTGTTCTTTCCTCAAAAACATGGTTTGGTATCGTGTCGCTTGTGATAGAAGATAACGTAACTGACTAGAGGAAGTCTAATTGGCAGACAATCATGACTCTGATTTGATTGCTTTTGGCTGGCGTTTTTTATGAATTAACTTTACTGTCGTAGGTTTTCTGCTCCCCCGCGCCACCTTTTTCCTGGGTAGAAATATGCTGTTGTCTTTATTCTTTGCATTTTTTGTGTGCGATTTTCTGCTGGAAATGTTTAGGCAGTAGTTATTATTCGGCCATATTCATCACTCAACCTGATCTTAATATTGCAGGAACAAAATCAGCATTGTGGAAGCTGGTGCTTTAGAACCAATAATTTCTTTCCTGAAGTCACAAAATACAAACCTACAAGAGTGCGCCACGGCATCTTTGCTCACTTTATCCGCCTCTGCAACCAATAAACCAATCATTTGTGCTTCTGGAGCCATTCCTCTTCTCGTGGAGATCCTCAGAGATGGAAGCCCACAAGCTAAAGCTGATGCAGTAATGGCTCTTTCCAATTTATCCACCCGCACTGACAATCTCAGGGCCATTCTTGAAACAAATCCGATCCCTTTCATAGTTGATCTTCTCAAAACCTGTAAAAAATCTTCAAAAACAGCCGAGAAATGCTGTGCTTTGATAGAATCCTTGGTGGGTTTTGACGAGGGGAGGACTGCCTTGACATCCGAAGAAGGCGCAGTTCTTGCAGTTGTTGAAGTTCTTGAAAATGGCAATCTCCAGAGCAGGGAGCACGCAGTTGGAGCGTTGTTAACAATGTGCGAAAGTGATCGATGTAAATACAGGGAACCGATTCTTAGAGAAGGTGTAATTCCAGGACTTCTGGAGCTCACGGTTCAGGGAACACCCAAGTCTCAGTTAAAAGCCCGCAACCTTTTGCAGTTACTGAGAGAATCTCCTTATCCCAGATCCGAAATTCAACCGGACACTCTTGAGAACATAGTATGCAATATTATATCCCAGATTGATGGGGATGATCAGTCTGGTAAAGCAAAGAAGATGCTAGCTGAGATGGTCCAAGTCAGCATGGAACAGAGTCTGAGACATTTGCAGCAAAGGGCTCTTGTGTTCACCCCCACAAGTGATCGGCCTATTGCTAAATGTGCTTCTGAAGTATCTTCAAAATGATAGTTTGGGGCTGTCAACTATGTATCTTGTTCTTCTTTTATTTCCACGCGGTGTCTCCTATTCGGCTGTTGTGAGACATATTCTCCATAGCAGCAGCAGCAGCAGAAGAAGAAGAAGCGAGAAAATAATGCAAAGTAAAGCATGCCAGTCCAGGCCATGTTAGGTATCGAGTGACTGGTAGTTGTCAATAAACAGAGAAATTGTAAGAGCGGAAAAACATCATTTTGTTGTTGGGTTTGTAAAGAAGCTGTTGTGTATAAAATGATATACGGGTATTCCTTCTTTGCCCCGTTTGTCCAATGAAAAATCCAAACAGGATCGGTCAAGAACAGCTAGTAAACGAATGACGAATTAAAATCAATGAAGTGGCTTGAATTAGTTGGCCTTTTTACAGTATTTAAATTACATTTCACGCATGTATATGTATTATTACTTTTTTTTTTTAATTTGGTTCTAAATATAAGATTTTAATTCGTCTTGTTTCTTGTATTTTTTTTTAAAGTAGTTTTTTTAGTAGTTGGATATGTTAAAAGTTTTATTAAATAGTAGTTTTAGTTAATACACATAATTAGTAATAATATTTTAAAAAGATAATGTATATTTATTGTAAATAATTAACTCAAGTAAATTTTTTTAATTTACTTAAATTGGTCAACTAGTTTTTATATTAAAGATTGGAAGCAGTATAAAATAAGTACATGTACTACAGATGTTATGTTATAGTATTTTTCTGATTTTTAATATAAGAGTTAGATAATTAATTTATAAATATTAAAAAAAATAGTTAAATTAGTTGTGTATATTAAAAACTTTTACTAACACAGATGAAACTCATTCTATAATATCCTTCTAGAGGTTGGGTTTTATGCAGTTCATCCTTAGTGGAAGCCAAGCCCAATTAAAAACCTTTACCAACACAAATGAAGCTTGTTAATAAACTTTCTGTGGTCTGGAACTAATTAGTTGCGGTTGACAAAAGTACACTTCTCATCTTCTTTTGTGCCAAAAAGAAAAATACGCCTCCCAATCGTATATGGCTGCCTCTGATGTAAAGTTGTGTGTGTTGTATCACCCAACAAAAAAAAAAAAAAGTTGTGTGTGTTGTCCTCTGGTGTGAGCCTTCGGGTCCCTTTATGTTCTGTGTGCATTTAATATTATTCGACATGTAATAATGTGATTTTTTTAAAATGTGATATTATTAAATAGAATGAGACAAAAGAATAAGAAACACATTTCTCTCGTTTACAACAATATTCTTTTCCAAACCATATATCTAATTTGTTCATCCATCACATTTAGTCTCCTTAGTTTACATTACATAGACCTAAATTATTTGTTTATATTTTTTTTATCTCATAGTTCATACAAAATTTAGTGCTTAATAAACATAACAATGATGTGATGATTTCGAGTTATTTATTTCATTCAAAGTCGTTAATTATTTCACCATCGCGTGTGCTGAAGGTTAATTATTTAATTACTTTATATAATATTAAGAATCCGAGGAATATTCTATTATTTTTATTACGTACCATTTGACAATATATATTTTCTTTTTCCATATATAATTTACATTGGGAGACATACAGATTAACGAGGAAGAAAGGAATGCACAAAAGGAGCGAAAGAGATGAAGCCAAAGCTAACAACTTAAAGCACAAAAATAAATATGAGGGACCATATCATGAAAAAGACTATTATCTGGATGTGTTTCACCAAAGTAATTAATCTCTTGTCTATTTATTTTGCTTTAATTATATAAATTGATAACATTTTTTCATTTTTAATCAATGTAAATGACTAATATGATAAACTAACTCCAGTCCTTAATATATAATATCTCGTTTGATTTTTATTTTGGTCCCAATTATAAGTCTTAAATCTACTTTGTCTCTTATATTTATGTATCTTTTTCTAAAATACTCCATCTAATAATGTAATTCTAACTAATAAACTTAATTGACAATGATATTTTAGGTAAGACAACACCTATTTATTACAAATAACTAACTTAACTTATTTTCTTAATCTTCTCAAATTAGTCAACTAGCTCTTATAATTAGGATCAGAGATAATAATAATTTAATTATTGGTAGTACCACAAGCTTTCGCTATATAGGTTCTCTCATTTTCACTATATATGGTTGGCACAAATATTTTGTAATATAAAGGATGAGAAAAACAATTAAGTTAAATACAAATTATTCTCTGATGAATGAATTCTCTGATGAATTTCATTTCATGCTAACAAGTCCCAAGAGATTTAATATTTTTATATATGTCAAACTTTTATATTTATAAGTTAGTTTATATCATTTATAAGTCAATTTTATAAATTAATGTTTCCAATTCAAGCTTTCATATTTACAGTAAAGCTGCATCATTTGCATCTCAAATTTATATATCTTAAATTTATGGAAATTTATCAGTATTAAATAAAATTAGAAGGATCTATCTGTATTTAATTTGTTTACTTTGAACGCATGGGTAATTTTTCCATAATTTTACGTCAAAATTATGCATAGAAAATTGACAAAAGAAAATTACATTGTATTTCTACCCCACCAGAGAATATCACAGAATCATCCCGAATCAAATAAAAGATGAATCAATTCATCAAGAAGCTGGTACCAAGAAATAAATAACGACGCACAAGACCAAATAATAATGGATATTGAAAAAAAGTACACCATATATAGACAAAATTAAATAAATCAAAACGATATATATTAAGAACGAAACAAAGATGAAGAAGTTAAATATCTGAGCTATACTTTGCCCTCACCAATTATTTTAGTATAGCATCTCATCATCATTCAGATTCATGATGAAGCCACACAAACTACCAAAGCGACCAAACTAGCAGCCAAAGCCAGCAACCCCACCTGTGTGTTTGGAGCAGAAGAATTATAATTCCCCCAGTTATACGGCTGAGTCTGGTACGGCACATTCCCCGGTTCGCCACCGGTCACATAGATGAACCTCGGTGCTGGCGGCGGAGGCGATTGATCGCAATTGCCGGAGGAAAGATAGGTGAGAGATGGTGGTGGTGGTGAAGGAGGAGGCGGAGAGGGAATAGGAAGCTCCTGGCCACCGCCACCACCACTACTGCCGCCGCCATTGCTGCCACATGGGCTTTTACAAGGACATGAACCACACTTCATTTCAGAGTCATCCGCTGGTGGTGGAGCAGCCGCCGGAGGGGAGTCGTCACTGATGCAAAATGGACACGAAATGAAGAAAAGCAACAAAAGTGTAATGAATTTGTGAGGGTATATCATTTTGTGTGTGAGAAAGAACAGGGACTTGGAAGTTAAGTGGGTCTGGGACAAACGAAAGAGAAGTTGTGTGTGTGTGTGTTTTAAGTTGTTGGAAATAATGTAGGGGACGTTGTGAGGGGCTGTTTCAATATCTGAGTTTTGTGAAACCTCAGAACCAGAATGTTTAAGGATCCATCCATAGGGACAAGCACAAGTCTCTATTAATATGTATCTTTACTTGTGGTGGCAAGTAAGAATATTTGCTTTTTCCCATTCTGAGTTATACTCTCTGTGTCTTTCTCACAATATGAGCTGTCTCTTTTTCTCCCCCTCTTTTCTTGTCCTCCTCATCTTTCATGCATAGGGTAAGTAAGGTTATTAATCGTATAATAATAATAATAATAATCTTGTAAAGTTTCTTCATTAAAAAAAAGTGTTTTAGAGGTTTAAAATATAAGCCACTACTCTTTATGGCATATCAAATAAAATTTTCCCCGGAAATAGTGTATATATGTTAATTAAAGCATGGGAGAAAAATTTGGAGTCACACACACACACACACACACACCATATTTCCCATTCTTCGCCCAGCAAAAGGATGCTTAAGTAATATTTAGTGTCAGTTGGGTCAAATGAGCTCGATGGGTGGCTTATATTATGTTTGAGACAATGAAATGGGAAGTATACAAATGTGAGAGACTTTATGTTGAAATATTTAGAGAGAGAGAGAGAGTGTGTGGGGGAGGGAAAGTTGAATGAAGGAGCTAAGAGGAGGGAGAGGGGCATAAATTGTTGCTTGGCTCAGTGAAACATGGGAATAGAATGCCTCCTTCACTTTGAATAAAGTGAAGAGTTGGATATATTCCTCCTTAGTTTTAAGATATATATGTGTGTGTGTGCAGACATAGAGAGAGAGAGAGAGTTGAATCCATCTCATCAGGACATAATAATTACACACATGAAGCTTCCATTTGAAGTGCCTCTTTTCCAAATGTTGAAAATAAAAATATTCTCTTTCTGGCACTGTAATGAAACTACCAACTTTCTTGAGGGCATCCCATATATATATATATATATATATGTATATATATAAAATTAAAACCTATAATATAATATGCTGTGGATGTGGGAAAATGATCAATAGTTTATTGCATCTGCGGGAACCAATAGAAGAAAACTCAAATGTTTGAATTTAAATTGCGAATAGTCCGCAAATGTATAATCCAATACAGTCCTCTTCTTCTTATTCTACGTTAAGCTCGCGAATTAAGAAAGGAATCATATACCCTCCAGCCTCCACTAATCCTATTTTGTTAATTGCTATCTTTTTTTTTTTTGTGGGGGAAAAAAGTGTATACTTTTTCTTTCGGCAGCGCGCATGCAATCGGCCTCCTTCTCACATCTTCAAGAGGGAAAGTGAGTATTTTTAAGAGTATACAAATTCAATAATTTAAATTTTAACCATGCATGAAAGTTCAAAAATGTATTTACAAGTGACCTAACGAAAAAATTATACTACCTCCGATACTAAATATAAAATCTAGCTTGGGGCATTTAGGATCGGAGGTAGTATTTTGATAATAGAAAGTGAGAATTTATTTCGTGTTGACATGAAACTTGCAGCTGGCAAATGTGGAATGATTTTATTATGAGCTATTAAGGACTTGTTTAAAATAGTTTATACGTAATTTTTCAATTATAATTTACAAAATATGAGATAAGTATATAAGAAGAGTTTTATTCGGTTTATATAAACGTACCTATCGATAGTGAATCCAAACAAGCTCTGATACATTTGGATTTAGTCGGCAGAGAGAGAGAGAGAGAGAGAGAGAGAGAGATTGGTTTTGAGAATAAGAGTCGAAATGTAAGTAAAGGTAGAAGGAATAATATCATTCGCTTGAAGAGCATGAGGAAAAAGCAAGGGACTATGAATGATCGAATTCATGTAAGAGAAACTTCCGGAATATGTACGAAGACAATAGCTACAACATCAGACCTTAGTAGTGATTATGGGCCAAAGCCCTACTAAGAGGTGATCCCAAGTTTAATCTTGAAGGCCTCATTTAGGCCCCTTTCTAATAGTACTACTGCTACTGATAATAATCCAAGAGAAAATTGCATGACAATAATCTTCGACAAAGCAGCAATGTTGTTGGGATTTTGTAACCCAACTGACACTGAATACCTTCTTTAAAACTTCTTTTATTGTGAGGTTTTGAGTTCGACTTAACAGAAGATATATATACATATATATATATATGATGATTGTGTGAGTTATTAGATATTACCTGTCATAAATATACTTGCTTAATTTTTCCAACACATGCTCTTTCTTTCTTTTTTTTGGTTATCTTTCAATTAGTGGAAGGAACTCACAGGCCTATCATACTCATAGAAAGTTGAAGTCGTAATTTCTTGCTTAAGTCAACACTTAAAGGAGTATTTGATGTTAGTTGAGGCTGACATGGCACATTATTTCTATATGACTGTATGATCTACACTGTAATATCAACCATACATGTCGAGGTTAATTAAATGCATACCTTACTTTTTCTCATCATTTAATTAACTAAAGGGTAGCGTTGGAATGAGATGGATGCATGTGATTGGATTGGCAGGACCTGGGATAAAGCCAGCAGCCAAATGCTTCAAAATGGGGGAATAGTGACAAAATATTTAATGAAGCATGTTGACTAAGATGCAAGAAACCAAAATATTTCTCCCAATCACATTCACATCTCCTTCTCAAATTACTTCAAGCCATATAATAAAGTCTTCATACAAACACACAAACACATATTTATATAATGGCTCTGATCACAATACATATTCGTTTTGATTTGTTGTGGATTCTCTCATTCACGGGTTCAACTTCTCCTGCAAATGGGACCCTCCCTGTCCTGAGTTTCAGTTTTCTATTTGATGAATTCAAACTCGCAAACTTTGCCATTAATCAACTGCGTTCCCTACAATAACACTTCATTCCTTCCTGGCTTCATCAATAATAATACCACTATTATTATATAATTAATTGAGCTTTAATCATATTATATACATACCCAAATCAAACATTCTTGATCTCATAATATTCCCTATTAATCATCAACCTTCACGTGCTGCTTCTTCTTCCCCCTTTCCTTTCCTCTGTTTCCTTATTTTTCACGTATTCCTCTGATCTTATTTATAAGTCACTTTGAATATTTTTCATACAAACAAAAAAAGCCTTAAACTTTATTAACTCTCATTTATAATTAATAACTTTTTAATTTTATTCTTATTTAATATACATTATATCTTATTTAAATATAGTCAACACAATATTAAATAAAAGGTAAAATTATACATTTATATAAAAAAAATTTCTTTGTCGTATAAATAAGACTAAAAAATTACTTCCTTCTTTACATTATAAATAAGACTAGAGGAGTATTGCTTAAGTGATATGGCTGCTGAATTTTTATTCCCCCGCCAATGCTCTGCCTCCTTTCTACTTCCCCACGCCTTACATTTATTAGCTATTCTATTCTAATTTACATCTCAAATGAATCAATAATGCTATAGACAATAAAATTGAATAAAGGCCACAAGAAGCATAAGAAGAGAGTCATATACAGAGTTGAAGTACATGAACGAGTAATCAAATTCTCTCGAACTTTCATGTTCGTGTAGAAATTAAAAATATTTATTCTCTTTTACATTAGTTCCTTATTTTACTAAACATGCCACAAAAAATTATTTGCATTTGGTTTGAGTTTCACAAAAATAACTTGCATACAACTCAAGCTTTCAAGAAGACGTGTGTATATATTACCTCCAGTTGTTAATATAAGATTTAATTAACTAATTTAGGAAGATTAAAAAAGTAAGTTAAGTTAGTTATTTGTAATAAATAGATGCTGTCTTTCCTAATATGCCCTTATTAATCATATATGTTTGAATTACAAATTGATAATATTAATAACTCCTTAAATATGCAACCACTATAAGGATTATTTAAGAGAAAAATAGATAGATATTGGAGATAAAATGGATTGGAGTATTATATTTATGATCAAATTAAAATTCAAACTAGCTTTTATATTAAAGACGGGAAGTAATACTAAAAAACTATAATTAATTGAACAGCAACTATTAACTAACAAGACAGGAGAATCTAAGTACATCTAAGTATGATTAATTGAACAGCAACATATAATTAATTTATAACTAATGGAGCATTAATTTAATAAGACCTAACCCTTAACTTCCAAAAGACATATAGTCAAGGATGATTTGAGATGAAGGTGATGTAATTTTCAGTGAGAAGCCTGACCTACTTAAACTTTGAAGCTTCACTGTTAATCAAACACGAAAGGGTTTAGTCGCCTTCCAGATTATAGCAGAAGCAACCGTTAAATTATCTTCTTCTGTCCATCGCATCGATCTTTACAAATATTATATACTATTACTGAGATGCTATTTCAGTTTCTCTGTGTGGACTCGTCTCTGTCTTTCTTTGCTTAGAAGTTCCTCTTCCCCTTACAACAACTTCTCGTTAAACAACAATTTTTAAAAGCTTTCATGCACACAAATCAAACCATATTTTACCAGGGTTAATAGTTTAATATCGTCCCGAAAGTCTTAAAAAAAAAAAAAAAAGTATTCATGAATGGAAGACTTGTTTGGCATGTTGGGCAATATTCCCTTAACCGTTAAAAAAATATAAATAAGGTAATAAGTTAGCTTTTTAATGGTAAATGTAATGTCTTAACCGTTAGAGTGACATTACGTTTTTTTTTTTTTTAAACATTACCCAAGTAATATCAAGACAAAAAAATATTTTTGAATCCTACATTTCTTTTGCGAATACTTTCAGGATAAAAATATGACCTTTAACCTTGTTTTATTGTAATTAGAATAGATGTTGTGTAACTTATTATTATTATTATTATTATTATTATTATTATTGGGCAACGGATGTTGTGTAGCTTATTAGTATTGTGACTAATTATGCCTTTTATATATTAGATTCATGTGTAAAGTAGCCAAATCTATGACCAATGGCTCCAACATTTACCAACTAAAAGGACCCCAACGGCCAAACCCCAAAGGGCCTTTGCCCAAAATGTCAGAGAGAAGTTTGATTATGTTAGGATTTTGAGGAGGGAGATTGGTCAACATCTACTTCATTGTACATATTGACAAATTCGGAGTTTGATGCACCTAAATATCTATTGCCCCAACCATTACCCATGTGCCCATGTTCCTCCCACTGAAGCAGTTTCATTCGCCTAGGTTTATCTTCATTTGGTGATGTCTCCATGTTTTTATGTCCTTTTATTGCACTCAAATTCATCCCCTGCTTCTTCCTTATTTCCTCTGTTTTCACCACCATCATTGTTTTCTAAGAGCTTGATGACACAAGAATAGGCTTCATAACTCAAAACATCCATCATCAAAGTCCTTTTAAATTATCCACTAACAAAATCCTAATATTAGCCGATATTAATCGTGGGACTTACTTGTAGTAGATCAGTTCCTCTTCATAAGTTACAAACAGAGCAACTTATTCCTTAAATTATATATTCATTCTGATCCCTTTTATAAGGCATATATTGGGAAGGATAACTGATCGTTTTTACAAGTCACTTAAATCAGGGTATTTATCATATTTTTTCCCAGAGTTAAACAATATTTAAATTATTCATACAAAATATTTACACCATATTATATAGTGTTGAAATTTTCAAAGAAAACAAGAGAAAGAATGATTCCGCAGCTGGAGATATTAGTTGGAAATCAAGATTGCAGCTTCAAATAACTCTGATCTATTTCTAATTACTCACAGGGTTCTGTTACAAGCAATCTCAAGCCGCCGTGAAGCCACGCTTGATTTGAATTCTTAAGCTAGCTAGCTAGCACTATATATATATATATATATATATATATATAGATCTAAACGTGTATAATACAGTGTGCTCTGAAAAACGGGAATAAGCTACAAGATTTCAGAACAAAAATTCAATTGCTTCCGAAAGCTCCAAAACAGAGAGAAGCTGAACCAATTACTATTGAGAAGCTGCTTCTACGCGTATTTCTCCTTCTTCCATTGGCCTGAAACTCACTCGTTTCTGCAAAAAAAACCCATTTAGATTCAGTCCTATTATGGAAAAGAAGTTTACCAATTCAAATGCAAAGTCCGAGATGTTTTGATTTTGGGACGAATTATTCATGTGGGCATCCTTAATAAATTAGCAAAGAAGCACAAGGCACCGACTTGAAAATTTCGACAGAGTCTAACATTTGACCTTTTGCTTTTCCACTTCCCAGAGGAAACAGAAACAGACAACGCACGAATCCAAGAAGACATAAACAAATTGATCCGTCAATCACTACAACGTACGTTAGCTTCTTGTACTGGCCTTTTCCTTTTCATTCTTATTCGAAAAATCAGAAAATGTCAAAAGTCTTGCATTCAAATTTTGTGCCTTCATTTGTGCTTTTTAATGTAAATGATTCTATTGAAGAGTCAAACTACAAAACCCTTATTAAAATAACACACTGCTTTAAATCCGGAATGAGAAAACGGCCATGTCGGCCTCTGCCTTCCTAAACATCACAAAGTATACGCTTTATACACCTTAACATGCGTGCGTCTTGTATTTAAATCAAAAGCCAATCAACAAATTATCAAACCCAAAACTACAATTTTGTTTTGGTCTTTACCTTTTTTTTTCTTTAATTTTATTTAATCTTTCATATCGTTATTCTTTCATTCAATCAGTTATTCATGATAATTGATTAATTTGATTAATCAAATAAAATAATATCCTTATATTAATATAACATGTTCAGAGATGTGATAACATCTCACCAAATTGTTTATAAATTAAAATTATAAATAATGTCTTCCGTCAATTAATAATTGTGTGTGTATCTATAATGGTTTTAGTTTGTTGGGGTTTATTACATTAAAATGAAATTAATTTTGGAAAAGATAGAGTAAAATGTTTTTTTATCAGTAGAGAATCAAATCAAGAAATAATTTTGGGAGAAATAAAATTAAAAACTCAAAGATGTGCTCTTTCTTGAGAAAAAATTGAGATTTCATTTTTGCGCCATTGAAAAATGAGACTTTGTTGGATGGGGATAGCAAGAGATAATTACATACCCCTCGTGGCTTTTGAGCCTCTTTTATGGCCCCCAGCTCAGGCTGGGCTTCGACGGCGGCGCCACTGGCTCCGGCTGCGTTATTGGCCATATACAATTTGATGATCTTTTCGGCGACCTGAGCTCCGTCGGGGCTCTCCTCCATGAGCTTCTCCAGCTGGGACTTGGGAAGCCTCATTTTAACTCTCAAGGGCTCGCCGTCGGGCCCAGGCACCCTCAATCGGCCGGCCGACGGCGGCTGCTTATTGTTCGCGAACGTGATATCGGAGACGGATCGCTTGGAGAGCATCAAGAAGTCAAGCCTGTCCTTAGCATTCATGCCCCGAATCCCACTGGATCGGACCCTCCTGGATAGCTGAGGCTCCGTCGGAGGCTGAACCTTGGGAAGCTCCACGAGGAAGTAGATTCTCCTGGGCTTTAACTCCTGGTAGGGCTCCAACGGTTTTGCCCGAACTCCGAAATGCTTAACCGCCTCCGAATCCAACAACACATGACCCGGGTGCTCCTTGACGACGTCGTCCACCCTCGCCGGCGTCTTCAACTTGAACGTCTCTCCGTCTACTTTCAACACCTTCGCTTTCCTACTCCGTCCAACGGCGTTACCCATCTCCCTCTTTCTCTCTCTCTGAAGAAGTTAGTTTCTCTGTGTTGTGTGCGTTTCTTTCTGAGGAACGAACGGAGGCTGCGGGGTATTTATACGGCCATGTGTGTGAGCTGATATGGAAAGTTGAAGAAATCAAAATTTGATTTTATGGGATTTGAGTCTTGTTTGTGCGTGTTTGTGTGTGAAATATGGAAATATGGTGGAGATTCCATTGAATAAAGACGAGGATTATTATGAGGTTGAAGTGAGATTAAAAAGGGGACAAATTTTTCGTTTGGTAGGGTTATGCAAATTTAAAAGCACGAATTAAAAACACTTAAATGTATGCATGTGGGGTAGGCCTCCTAGCTAACCTTTCCCAACATGAGAAAATTGAAAAAAATAAAAATTAGTGCGTTAGATAGCTTTCACATCCTATTCCCTTTCCTTCTCAATCATTTCTTAGGTGAAATAACTCTGTTACCATTTTCAATTCATCTAATTTTTTTTATTATTAATTAAGATATTGGGGTTTCTGCTCATTTCACGCCACAACATCTGGTTTAAGGTTTACACTGTGGAGGATCTTTTTTTTGCCCTTTTTTATTTCACTGGCTGGGTTTATAGATATGCATGATTTATTCATAAAGCATGTGCACATGGATTCGACGAATGATTAATGCTGAATGGGGAAAAGGTGGTGTGAAAAGGGATTCAGTGTTGAGAGGAGAACCGACGTAAAAAGTAGTGGTGACTGCTGAGTTACACGACAAATCTCATGATTCAACTTCATTGCTCTCTCTTTTTAAATAAGATCTTGCATTCAAATCCTGTGCATAAAGAAAATTGTTGTGCAAAAAACTTTAAGCTTGTTTGTTTCTGTTTTTTATTTATATATTTTGTTTTCTAAATATAAAAATTAGTTATGATATTTGTTTTGATCTTGAATATAAAATTATATTATACTTTATTTCTTCAATTTTTAATTTTTCTCAAACTATTCTTACTAATTATATAAGAGGGTTTTCATTAATAAGGCAATAATCAAAGAGATATTTTAGAGAATTAAACACATATTTATTATAAATAACTAACTTAACTAATTTTTTAATATCTATAAATTAGTTATCTAACTTTTATATATTTAGAAATAGAAAGAATATAAGATACGGCATGACTACTTAATTTTAGCATCAGTTGAAATTCAATATAATTTTAAAGACGTCATAAAGTCAACGGCTTTATAACCTAATAGCAGAAGGGTTTAATCTCTCATAATATAATAAACTAAGATCTAAATTTTTGTAGAGAACACTCAAAGTATTTGGATCAATATTTACAGCCTCCAAGTCATGAATTGATAAGGCGGGGGCGTGCATGAAGGAGTACGGAGGGAAAAGGCTGATTAGGAAACAGTTGGAAGAAGAGGATAAGAACGTAAGAAAGAAGGGTGGAGGGCGGGTGCTACGTACGTTTTCCACCAAGTTCATCAGCTTTAACAAAAGGATGTAACGTCAATGTCGGAGAGTTGATTATACCTTGCCTCACATGCATTTGGCTCTGTCCAATATTGACTTTTCCTTTGACGTTAATATGCATCTGTGATTCCATTTATTTTATCTGTTCATCACTCTTATCTCCCTTGCTTGGTTATTAATTGCCTATTTTCGTCTACTAGTCGTATAATGTTATAAATGAAATCAAACTCGTGATCTTCTAATTATATGAAAGTTTTTGTTTCATTAAATTACAAGATCATTGACAATTAATGTTCTTAAGCCTGAGTTCATAAGCATGATGTAACACACATCTTCTTATTTATAAAAAAAAGTTTTCATGTGATTAAGTTACAAAATTATTATTTATTAGCAATTTTTGAAAAATACTTAAGAAAGTTTCTTATATCCATTATGTCGAATTCTCTAATCACCCATGGTTATTTGTTTGATTATGTTTCATTTGAGATTACAATTATATGATAATATTTCAAAAACAGAAGATATGATTATATATAATTGGAGAACTTGACGTAATAAATATAAAAAACTTATTGTCAGTCTGTTTTATCTTTTCTTTTGTTTTGGAAGCTTATGTAATGTGCCGATGATGTTTAAGATCAATACGTGTAAGTGTGGTTAAGAATTCAGGGCAGAGATTAGTGGATTAAAAATTTCTCCTAATCAATATTTTACACTGCTTATTAACAATTGAAATTCTCATTCATGTCTTTTAAGCCAATCGTTGATACTTACTTACGCAGTGAATTGAAAGAGATTGGAAGTAGATGTATAAGCGAGCATATAATACTGTGCTACTCCTTCCATTTTGAAATATTTTTCGGGTTTTTGCGCACTCTCTCATTAATTTAATAGAGCAGCTCTATTTTGAACACTTTTTCTTTGTTAAATAAAGGGAAATAGATGAAGGTCAAAATAGGGGGAAAGAATTTGTTGAAATTTTAAAATAGCAATTAATTATAAAAATGTATGGCTTTATTGATCACAGAAACAGTAGCAAAAACGAGGTGTGATGCCTTTACTATAGTTTGGAATCCTGTCAAAAGTAGTCAAAGGCTCTCTGAATTGTGATCATCTTCTCATTTCATTTAAAAAAAAAAAAGTTCTGTTACCAAAAAAAAGAAGTTCGCTCTGCACCTTAAAACTGGCAAAAGATCGATGAACTACTCATATGATCTTAGGCTAATAAATCCTTTAATTTTTTTGGCCAGAATATGCTAATAAATCTGATTAATAATAAATTATAGTTTAGTAGAACGCAGAGGAGTGCTTTTTTATATTAAATAGGATTATTCAGCCCAAGTGATCTTAAAGCACCTCATGATTTATCCAACATCTTAAATTATTTGTTCTTATATGTCCAATACCTTAAAATTGCTCCTAAAAATATTTTAAAGAAAAAAGAGCTCTAAAAAGTTAATATTTTAAAGGCAAATTATACAATAAAATAGTTTAAGATATTAAATAAATTACAAAAGATTTTAGAATGATGAATGTATATAAAAAAATATTTTATAGTACTCGATGAAGCTGGAACCTATTAAATGTGACACTTTACAATACAATTTCAAGTGTAGCTAGTCTAGGTAGCTACATTAATTTTCTTCCAAACAACTAGGATAAGAAGATTAAACGGGTGCAAGCGAATTAAATAAGACCGTTGGATAATTGATGGGAGATTGGACAAAGTCGTTGGATTAAGAAGACAGAAACGGACCAATACAAAGTTCTGAATTTTAATGCATACACGTCTCCTTTGAAGAAATCGATTTTGGCGACTCCACCCTACCAAAATAAACACATGCTTATTTATTAAATTAAATTTATAAATTAAGGGGAAATTATACTTCTATCTAAAAATTCAAACTCTTCAAAACCATAACTATATTTAATAATAATTAAAATAAATGTTAAACTAAGCAATAACAACTAGTCCAAGTGGTTAGATGTACGCAGCTTCTTTATCAAGTTAAAGTCTCAAGTTATGGAGACAATTTTTGAAAACTAGTTGGTGTACCAAAAATTACTACCATCAAAGCTAGACATGGGCTCTCTACATTATATGAAATGTACGTTATGAAGCGGCACATAACTTATTATGAGTAGAGCATTTTGTTGCATATTTATGTTTTAAAGATAATTAATTCCTTCCATCCTTAGTATATTACTTTAAATACAAAACTCATTTCACATTATTAACTTCTCATATTAAATTATATTATTCGGTTAAAAGGGTCTTGTAAAAGTATATTTTTTCAAAAAATTAATGTAAAATTTTAAAGATATAATAAGCCTTTTGATATAAATTTTTTTTTTTAAAAAAATATTTGATCAGTTGACACACTTATATTAGTAGAAGCCTCACTAAACATAACAAAAGTCAACTTAAGTAACCTATTCTTAATTTCTAATTAAGTGCTAAATCAAATTACAATATTGACAGCCATTCTAGTAATCAATTCCATCTTTTTGGCCGACCCCATGTTCCGTTATGATAAGCATATCACTCGAGTGCAAATTACAAATAAATTGCCACCGTCTGTGTTTTTTCTTATTATTATTTCTTAAAAAAGTGAAACGAGCAGAAGATTTTATATATGTACATTAAACTGAATTGATTAAGAGAATGTCTTCAGATAATTAATTAATTAATTAATTAAGAAAATCCCAGTCATGATGACCATCGCTCTCTAGTCTCTATCCACAAATGATGAAGTATAGATCATAATTAAGTTCTGCAAAACAATTCATCACGTTTAATGTAGCACGATTTTTTGTTGGGTCAAATGTAGCACGATATTTAGAGAATGATTATCATACCGGACATCATTCTGGTTTCTGGTTTCTATCAGAGATGCAATATTCTTGAGTGTCTGCTCAGATCAGTTTGGTTTTGAATCTTTGAAATTGTAAAATAAGTAGGGTTAAGATGCAATCTAGACCCTGATATTATTTCTCAGTTACAATTTTGTTGTTGGTTTTTTTAGTGGTATAATTTTAATCCTGATTTTATTTTTCAGGTGCAATCTTGCCTCTAATTTTTTTTAAAAGTAATTTTATCCCTAATATTTGGGTGTAACTTTGCTCTTCAGGGGCAAAATTGTAACAAAAAAATAGGGTCAAAATTGTACCACTAAAAAGATCATGGACAAATTTGCACCTAAAAAATAAAATTATGGTCAAAACTTCACCTTAACCAAAGTAAGTATATTCTTTTCACAAGTGATTAATTAAACTAATAATGAAAGTTGCATTAATTAGGTGAAGCTTGTTATTATAACGTCCATTTTTCAAAATTTGTGTGAGTTTTGGTACGTAGGTGAAGTCTTTATTTGCACCGAAATCACTTTGTAAGAAAGTCAAAGATGTCACCAAAAACACTTCCAATGAGTTCAAATGGTTCTATTCTACCAACCCCAAAATGTCAACGCTGTAACTCGCTTTTAAAACGCTTACCTATGGAGATGGTTTTTTTTTGGGGGGGGGGGGGACTTCAAACATGCATTTCTATGAATTCATCTTTACAGTTAATTTAACTTTTGCAATTAGCTGCAATGTCTAAATTAATTGCGTCCACACATGGGTGAATGATAGAAAAAAACGTACTTATCTATAAATGGACTATATGTCAATGCATTTATACATATATATTTTCTGATCGAGTACTGGATGCACCATTAGAATGTTAGAT